GGAGGATGGATGGCTCTGGGGCTGAGCTGACCTTTGGGGCTCATCAGCCAGCTCTGCTTTATTTCAGTGCCATGCACCTTCCCTGGAGGAGGAGGATGCTTTGGTACAAAAACATCAAAACAAAAAAAAAAAGATAAATCCAGCGTAGGCTGGTGATTAGGCTGGCACCTCTCCCCCTGCCCATCTGTTGGGCACCGCTGGGCACTGCGGTGCTCCTACACAGACCCCACACTGCCCGCCATCCACTCCCCCCATCGTGCCGTGTGTGGGGTGTCCTGGGACGGCCCTGGGCACGAGGTGCAGCTCTGGGGTGGTGATGAGATGAGGCTGACGGCGTGCAAAGGATTCGGGGCTTCTGCCGCGCTCGTCTGGTTTGCGACCGAGTGAGAAACGTGCTCACCGCGCTCGGCACGGCTCCGAAGGGCACTGCATGGGGAGGAGGGGGGAAGAGCCGGGATCGGGGAGCGGGGCTGGGAGCGGAGCTGCATCCCTGGCTCCCGGCCGCGGTGCCGGCGCAGAGGAGGGCCCTGGGTCCGGGTCTCCCGGCTGACTGCACTGCCGCTCTGTTGCAGGCGGCACTCGTACCGGACGGGGCAGGACATCGCCAACTGCGGGACGTGCCGGGACTGCGCCTGCATCATCTACAGGTACGGGGCAGCGCTGCCGCCCCGGGGAAGTTCCTGCACTCGTTTCCTCCCCCGTCACTCGGCGCCGCGCTCCCTGTTCGTAGTAGAAGCGCCTCCCTGAGCCCGAGGACGGGACGCACAGTGGTGCGGTGCCATCAGGGTCCCCGCGCTGTCCCAGTGCAGGGTGATCCGGGAGCCCCGCCGGCACCTCCGCTGTGCACCGGCTGCTCCCGCCGGTAGCGGTGATGCACTCAGAGCCGGCGCTGAGCAGCGCCGTGGGCGGAGGGCGCGCTTCTCGGCCGCATCGGGGCTGGAGGTGCCCCAGATCCGCCCCCCTCCCCGCGCTCCGTCCCCTCGCACGGCCGGGCCCTGCTGGCGCTGCCTCTCGGTGGCGGCTCGTTGCCACCCGAGCCCAGAGCCGACTCCCCGCGGTAGCTCGTGGGGGCCGTCAGCGCTAATTGGGTCTGACGAGGCTGTCTCCATGCGGCACTGCGGCTGGGAGAGATGGCACCGCTGGGGAGGAGGGTCCTGCTGAGGGCTCCCGCCGGGCTCCGCTGCCTCCACGTGAGGGGAAAAGGCTCCGGTGGGACACGGTGGGAACGGAGCGGGGGGCGGCGGGACGGGGGCAGCTCCACGGGGCTGTGCAGGGCTGCACGCGGCTGCGGGGGACGGCGGTGGTCGGGTGAGCAGAACAAAGACGGGTGGGCAGAGAGCACAGCGGGAAGGGGCTGCAGGACGGCGGCTGCGCTGTGAGCGGCTCCCCGTGCAGCCCGGCACTCGGCCGTCTGTCCGAGCTCGCCCTTTCTGCTAGAGGTAGCTGGGGATAACGCTGCCCTCGTGATGTGTGGTGACACGGGGTGCTGCGCGGCTGTCAGAGCCACGTGCGGTGTCGGCGGCAGCACCTCGCTGATGTGATGGGAGGTGGCTGCTCGGAGATGGAAGTGCTTTCCGGGTGAGGGAGCATCGCAGCACGTGGCCACCCGCGCCCTGCCTGCTGCGGGGACAGCGGGGGGTCCGGGGACGTGCAGGAGAGTGGTGGTGCCGGTGGGTGATGCGTCCCCTCCTTCCCTACCCGGACCAACGGTGTCCCCGTGCCTTGCATTGGGATTGTTTTCAGACTCTCACCCCGGCTCCTTGTGCTGTGGCTGCACCGGGCTCAGGGGCGCGAGGGCAGTGGGGGTCTGTAACCCCAGCGCTTTGTACAGCCTCTTTCCAGAGGCTCTCATGGGTCTCAAAGCTGTTCCCCAGCTGGGGCGGGGGCCTGGCTCCCACCCCGGCCAGGTCGATACTCAAAGCATCGTATTGCAGCAGACCCGCAGGGCGCACGGCCCCTCCTGGTATGGGCACAGCATCGCCCCTCAGCCCGGTGCTGCTGCACTCCTACCGCTGGGACTCAGCCCCCGCTGCACAAAACCAAAGTACCCGGTGCCAAAGTGTCACCAGCTCAGGGTGCAGGAGATGAGCTCCGGGCATTCGGGGAGGGCCCACGCAGCGGCTCAGCTCTGCAGGAGGGATTTGGTGCATTTGGTGTTTAAGGCAACGGAGCTTGGGTGAGGGGATGGAACGGCAGGAAAAGGATGGGGAGCCACAGCCAGGGGCAGCTCTGAGAGCAGCTTTGACGCTAGGAATGAAAGGGGAAGCGCCATTGGGTCAGGGCTGTCTGTCCGTCCGTCCCTCCAGAACTGAGGGTCCCACTGGGTGCAGCGCGGTGCCGTGTGTGGGCAGGACACGATTCTGCACGATACGACAGCCGCCCCCGGCCCGGGTCCGGCCCCCACCCCACTCACAGCCGCGCTGCACGCAGGCGGTGGGGGGCAGCGGCCGCAGGCTGAGCCGAGCCCCCGGCGCCGCAGCAGCGCCGTGACGCCGCCCCTTCTCCCCGCAGCGTGGAGCACGACTTTCGGCAGCAGGAGGGCCGCTTCCAGCGGGTGCTGAGCCACATGGAGGGCGACGCGGCACACAGCAGCCCCGCACCGGGGCCCGGCCCCCACGCCCGGCAGGAGGCTTCGCCCCCTGCTAAGCTGGACGCCAAGAAATCCCGGCGCAAGTGCTTCTGGTTCCTGTGAGCCCCGGCACTGACACCGGCTCCTGCCTCCTCTCCCTTCCCTCTGACGTTAGGGTTTGGGTAGCACCAGCTTTTATACTTTTAACCGTTCCGTTTAACGTACTGAAGAACCCGTGTAAATAAGAGGGGGGGGAGCAGCGGCTGTATTGATGGAGAAACCAATAAATTCCAGGCAGACGCTATTTTTGTTACACCCTCTCCTGGCTGTGCGCTTCTGTTCTGGACGCAGCTGAAGCTGCCGCCCGGCCCCAAATCAGTGCTGCGATCCCATCCTGGCCCCAAGCAGCCCCGCGGCTCCAGCAGGTTCTCAGAGACCCCACTGAACAGTGGGAGCACCGTGAGAGCCCTGCACCCATTGCCAGGGGTGGTGGAGAAGGGCAGGAGAGAGGAGCCCCAGTGCAGGCAGGCTGGGACCCAGGAGTGTGGCTGCTCTCATAGAATCAGTCACCGAGGTTGGGGAAGCCCTCCAAGATGCCCGGCTCCACCCCACTGTGCCCACTGTCCTTGTCCCCCCAGTGCCACATCTCTGTGGTTCTGAACACCTCTGGGGATGGTGACCCCCACTCCCTGGCAGCCGTGCTGGTACCCGACCGCTCTGCAGGAGAAATTATTGCTGACATCCAACCTGAGCCTCTCCTGATTCAATGAGAGACCGCCTCCCCTCCCCGAGCTGCTCTCTGCCCACTGAGGCCGTTGTGTGCTGGGGTCACCCTGCAGCCTGGCCGTCCCTGCACAGCCCAGGGCAGGAGCTGCCCCCCCCCCCCCGCTCTGTGTCAGGCCAGGCCCCCGTCTGCAGGATGCACCAGCTGATTACGTGGGGGCAGAATTCAGCAGCTCAAATATTCCAACCTGCAAAAGGAGCAGCTCAGCATCGATGTAACGATGGCTCTGGATCAGAGCGGTCAGCAGCAGCAGCAGCAGCAGCCCGGCTGGGGGCTGCAAGCAGTGGGGTGAAGCCTGGGACTGTGGCAGCACCACGAAAGGGATGAACTAAGGTGAGAAAGCTGCCAGACAGCATTTCTGGAGCACAGCAGGGCCAGAGCGAGGCTCAGCCAAAGCACTGCCCTCCATCTCCTCGCGCTGCGCATCAGGCCGTGCTCCGGCAGCCAGCGCTGCTCGTTATCTCTGTCACAGCCCCACAGGTAGCTTCAAACAGCTCTTTTTTTGCTCTCGCTTCCTCTGGCACTGAATCATGCATTCTGAGAACAAAGGCTAAAAGCGAGATGATACCAAACCCAACCCAGCACGCATCGCCTGCCTGAATCCACCTGAATCACAACCAGCAAGAGCCCACCCACCCAGACTGCTGGCACAGTCTGGCACAGCCTTAAACAGCCCAACGCAGCCCCAGCACAGCCCAGCACAGCCCAGCACAGTCTGGCACAGTCTGACACAGCCCAACACAGGGCTACTTGCAGCCAGATGTATAGGAGGGACGGCACCCTGCACCATCTCAGCAGTGGGGTCACTCCAAGAGCACAGAGATGCTGTCTGGAATGGCTCCTGAAGCAGGCAGGCCCCTCTGCCAGTAGCAGCACATGGCCAGTGAGAAGGAAGGTCCCATCCTGCCCATAGCACCTTGGTTTAGCCACGTATTTATGAATGAGAGCCAAGCACGGAATGGCAGAACTACAGGTTTGCTCCAAAACCTCCCTAGGCATGATGCACGGCACGGCACGGGATGACACAGCATGGCAGGGCCCCACAGCACTGCACCCCAAATGCCACCAGACCTTTCCCCTTGCCCCACACAGCCCAGAGCCACATGCCCGGCCTGCTGCACACAGCCTGGTTGGTCACACTTGCACAGAGCACGTTTCCTCCTCCCTCATGATGAAACCACTGCACCCGGTGCAGCTGCGCTGCGCAGAGCCTCAGCCGTGCTGCAGCCTGCCAACAGCTCAGCACGAGGTGGGCATCCCAGCGTGCTGCTCCCATGTGTAAAATGAGGAACGTTTGTTGGGTCCCATCACTGCTTTCCAGAGAATGCAGCCCAAACCCCCGCATCTGCTTCCAGACGAGCCTCCTGCACCGCAAGCACCCTGCGCGCTCCTCCCAGCGCTCCCCCTACTCCGCCCTGCTTCTGCCGCATTTCCTCCTTCCTTTTTTGGGCTTCCTCGTGCATCCTGCTGCGTTAAATACCCACAAACCCATCCCCAGCAGCTGCTGCCAGACACCACGGCACCGCCGAGGAACATTTGCCACCTGCTCCCCATCCCCACACCGCGCAGCCCTTCCCTCACTTCCTCATCCCCATGGAAGCGGAGCGGCGGAGCCGTCCCACGCCCGGCCAGGCGGTGGTAACTCACCCTGAGGTTGTTGTCCCTCTCCAGGACGATCACCCTCCGGTTCACGGTGTGCAGCAGCCGCTCCAGGATCAGCTGGACGTGCCTCTTCACCTTCACCTGCAAGGCGCGGGGAGTCATGGCCGCAGTGGGTGCAGTGGGGTGCGGGCGATGCGCATCTCCCCAGGTGACCCCAAGCCAGGCTGGGGGCAGCCCTCGTGCCAACGCAGCGCCCCTGAGAGCAACAGGCAGCTGCAGCCCGATGAGCAGAAGCTGCTGGCACGGAGAGCAGCCCCAGCACCGGTTCCTGCTGGAAGCTGCAGAGTTGGCAGGGCTTTTTCTTCGTGTGGGCACAGGAGGAACCGTCCCCATGCCCTCAGCAGGGCCCTGCGGCGCTGCTGGGCAGCCCTGGCTCCTGCGAGGTGGCTGGGATGTGTAACACAGAGCCACCCTCAGGAGACGTTGGGGTTGGTGGCACTGGCAGTGCCAGCAGAGGCCCCGAATTCACCATGGGGCACAGCACAGCCCAGGGCAAGGAGCACACATCAACCCAGGCTGTGCCTCCGTGCTCCTGAGCTGCAGCTCTGACACCCGTGGCTGCCACACAGTTCCCACAGAGTGCTGGGAAGGGGCAGAACTGGGGCACCTTCAGCTGAGGCACTGGCACAGGTTGCCCAAGGAGGCTGTGGATGCCCCAGCCCTGCAGGCATCCAAGGCCAGGCTGGATGTGGCTCTGGGCAGCCTGGGCTGCTGGTTGGCGACCTGCACACAGCAGGGGTTGGAATGAGATGAGCACTGTGCTCCTTTGCAACCCAGGCCATTCTGTGATTCTGTGGTTCTATGAGATTTCCCCCAGCTGCTCCCCTGTGCACAGCCTGTGTCTCCTGTGCCAGCTGGCTCCGCTCACTCCTTCATCCATTCATCCTTCCCAAAACTTCCGCTCAGCAGCTCAAAATCCCCACTGTTCCAACTGCACACTGAAACCTCGGAGTGCAGAAATCCCAACTGACCCTGGGCACAGCAGACCCAGAGTGGCACCCGAACACTGGGGAGAACCTCGTGCACCTCCTGCCCAGCACAGGACTGGGACTGCATGAAAGGAAGGACCTCATCCTTTCAGCAGCCTCTCAGCTTGCATCCTCAGCATGCACATCTCCTCTTTTTGCACCTGGCTGTGCCCGTCCCCACACAGGGATGCAGAGCAGTGCAGTTGGTGGCAGCCACGATCCCCGCCACCCAACTTCAGTCCCACTCCAGCTGTACCTGCTGCAGCTTTTGCCTTCATCTCAGACTCAGTGTCCCCTCGCTGCCTGCTGCCTTCTGTCCCTGTCCTCCAAGCGAGGCACACGCTGGCCCCTGGCAGCCCCAGGTGGATGTCATATGAGCACAAGAGCACTTTGTTCCCAATGCAGAGATGTAGTGAGGAGATCTCCTGTAGGAAATCCTACTCAAATCTCAGAGATGCCCGCAAGAAAGCAGTGCAACAAAGTGCTGCAGGGTGTCTCAGTGCTTCTGCTGTGTGCCTGAGGTCAGCTTTCCGAAAGTGACACACTGCTGCATCACGGGACACATTGAGGGGGTCCCAGACACCTGGAGGGCACCCAGACACAGCCTAGGCTACGGCACAGGCACAGCTGCCAGCATAGGAAAGCAGGCAGGGGCAGCGTCCTGCTGAGCTGCAGCACAGCTCTCTGCACTCTCCTAAACTGTTGCAGGAACAGCAGCACCAGGAGCTGCCAGGACGCCCCAAAGGCTTGCAGGATGGCAGAGGACAAGGCCTCAGGGGCTGTGGGGTGGCGTGCAGCAAAAGGACAGGGCACAACCACTGTGGCACGGGCACAGCTGCACTCAAGGCATCAGCCTGGCGCTGCAGCTGAGCTGAACTTGCTGAGGTTTCGTGGCTGCAGCATCCCGAGCCCCAGAGCTGCCCCAGTGCACAGCCTGGCTGCTTTGTACCTTGTGCCACAGCCAGTGCAGCCAAGCAGAGCGCAGAGCACGCTCACAGCACTGTGGGTCTCAGGGCAGACACTGCTGGAGGTGTGGGGGGGGCTGGCCTCATCACCCACCACAGCAGATCTGGGAACTGTTTGGATGCTACGGTCTCGTGGAGCAGCTATAGGGCTGTCTGGGCAGGCAGAGACCCGAGCAGCAGCAGGGTCTCAGTCAGTGCCGTGGGTCAAGAGAACAACGCCTCACCTGCAGTGCCTCACTGAGGGAACTCCTTGCAGTGAGAAGTAATGAAAACCTCGTGGAAAACAGGCCATGGCACAGAGCACCGCTGGGAGAGCATCGTCCCCGTACACACAGCCAGCTGGTGTGGGCCCTAAGGGCTCGCAGCACAGCCTGCAGCCCCCTGCCCTCAGGCACTGCTGCAGGAGGCTCCTCCATCGGTCCGTGCGCCGACCCCAGGAGACACCGCAGTCCTGCTCTGGGCAGGAGGTGCACGAGGTTCCCCCCAGGTTTGGGTGCCCAAATTCCCCTGCACACCCCACTCACCAGCTCCGAGTCGCCGCGCTCCCTGCGCCGCTCCTCCTCTGCTCTCTGCAACAAACACAGCGCTGCAAATCAGCGCAAAGCCCGCAAGGCCGGCGCAGTCCCCCCACAGCCACCCCTGTGACGAACAGCAGCCAGACGTATTTCCGAGGTGAAGCCAACACAGAGAGCAGGGAGCAGCGGAGCAGCTGGGCGCTACCTTCTGGGCCGCGTACAGCACCTCCAGGATGGTGCTGAGCAGCTCAACGCAGGTGTCCTCCTCCTCACCCCTCTCTATCAGGTCCTGCAGGACGGGCACGGCCATGCGCAGCAGCAGATCCCGGCACTCTGTGGGGCAGGTGGAGGTGTGGGGCTGGCAGAGGGCACCCACAGCTCCCCACACTGAGAGGGACTGAGAGCACGGAGGGAGCGCAAAGCATCTGGGCCGCAGCCTGGAGTTCTGGAAAGACTTTAAATGCTAACAGAAAGGCTCTGCGACTCCGCAGTGCTGCTCTGCTAAGGGTGCTTTGGGTTTAACTCAACAGATGGAGACTTTCTCACTCAAACAGCCCCTGGCTGCCAGGGCTCGGCCAGCGCTGCCTCCACACGGCACTGCTCAGCTTTGAGATACCCTTACAGCCGTGCTCTGGCAGCCTCTTCCTCCTTGCAGGCAAAACTTAACAAGCCTGTATTAATCACCACCTGTATTACTATCAAGAGTTGGACTGGATGGTCTTAAGGGCCTTCTCCAACCTCAGTGGTGCCACGGCTCTAAGCGTGAGCTGTGGAACCACACACAGCATCCTTCCCGTTGGACAGCAAACCACCAACATCCTCACCCTGAAAATCACCGCTGCCACCCCTCTACAGCCCTTTCCTCCCTCTAGGCCCAATTTCCTTCTGCAACACGTTTTAAAGCCGTTCCTGGAGCTCAGTACCACAGCACCAGGCGTCGGCAACGAGCGGCCTTTGGCAGCAGCTCTGGGAGCTCAGGTCCTGCAGGCACAACTCGGTGCTGCCGGAGCAAAGGGGGGCAGCGGGGTGGGGGGACACAAGCTGTGCTGTGCTCAGCAGCGCGGGCCGAGCTGTGCTGCAGGACCCCACGCTGCTCTCACCGTAGGACTGGAAGATTTTGCTGTTGACGATGTCGGTCAGGGACTGCAGCTTCTGCCTCAGCAGGCGCTGGGGCTGCAGGTTGCCGATGAAGTCGCGCAGCAGGAGCCTGCCGTGCAGATAGGAGAATCAATGAGCACCAACCATCAAGCTGCGGGAGCCGGCCAAGGCCAGGCCAAGGCCAGGCTGCTCTGCGGCCCCAAGCGCTGCCACCCCTTTCCTTTGGAGAAGGCAGTAGGAGAGCGTTGCCCTGCCCCCCGCTGACCCCTGCCAGCACTGAGCCAAATCCCCACGTTGCACGGGAAGGGCCTGAGAGGCACTGCCCACCCTGGGGGGGCTGGGGTGGGTATCACTGCGGGCCGGGACACTTACCCCAACATAGAGGCATCCAAGATCCCAAAGACGTCCTCCAGGATGGAAGGCAGATACTTGAGGGCTGCTCCCTGCGCAGAGATGAGGCTGCTGACCACGTGCCCGTGGGGCAGCGTGGATGGACAGAAGGACGGACAGACAGGCATCAAACACACAGGGCGGTGACCACTGCGCTGCCCACACCCTGCACCCAAAATCACTGCCATCTTTTCAACAGCAGTCATTGTTTCCAATGGCCCCAGGGATGCTCCCAGCACAGCAGCGCTGCTCTGACCCAAAGAAATGCCCACCCCTGCAGGATGCCTCTCCATCCCTAATTGCTTCTTTCCCTTTTCTCTACTGAGGAGATACATATTAAACAGATTACAAAGCAGTTCTTTTAATGCATTCATACCACTCTAATTTTAAACCAGAATACTGTACAAAGCTGAACCGCTGCTCGTCTCACACGCTGCCTTGGTTATCTCATTCAGTCACATTCACAGCTTCAGAACAAGCATCTCCTACATTTGATTTCTTTATTAACCTCCATGCTTAGCCGAGCTGGGCCGATTAACATTAATTTTTCTGCCACTCCTTAATTCTGCATTGATTGCACCCTCTGTGATGGAACCACAACCGATGGTCAGAGGTTCTGCCAGAGAGGCACAGCTGTGGGGAAGGGCCGTGTGCCGTGGGGACAGCAATGGGGCACGGCTGTGGGAGGCACCGTGGGGATCTGACCGTGCTGCAGCCTGCAGCTCTGTCCCACCTCAGACCTCAGCTGCCTTCGGTGCAGAGCAGAGCAGGGCTCTGGGAGCAGGACCAGCCTGGCACTGCTGGGGTAGCAGGGGATCCTGACTGCTCCCCGTCCCAGCAGCACACAGGTTTGTCCCTGACCCTGTGCTGCCCCACACTCGTCGTCAGACCCAAACGAGGCTCCTTCCAGGGGCACAGAGCGGTCAAAAGAGTGCAAAACCCCAAAGCCTGAAGTGTTCCAACAAAGGAGTGCTCCCTTCACGGAGGAGGTGGCCTTTCCGGGAGTGCTGCAGCTAACGAGCTATTATCAGCCCTGCCTGTGCTGATCA